CAGGCTGTGTCTGAAGCATCTGCAGCCTTGGGGCTCAAGGGATAGTAAATATCACCGGGAAACTCTGCCTTGGGATGGGGGAGGCTGGTATTCTGAGGCAAGCACCCAGCACCTTTCTCAGAAGTCACTTTTGGGTTATGACTCTCTAGTTGACTGATGGCAACAAAAAGCTGAGCCCAATATCCAGCCCATAATATTCCAAGAGATCTTGGCCTTGACACTCCCAGCTCTTTCAAAGAGTGGTTTGTTGGCTGCCCTAAGTCCTTGACCTCATTAGATTTATGTCTGGAGCCTAGGGGAGCTGGCTAGCATGCTGCAAATTGCTGGGCTGGGCCACATTAATCACAGGCTCCCTCCCAAGGAAACCTTGGGGTAAGAGGAGCCAGGTTGCTTCAGGGCCCACCTCGGGACTGCGGCTCCTTTTGGTACCACAGCCTCTGGTTTTTAGAAAAAAAAAATAAAGGTCAAAATTAAGGGTGGTTCATAGTCATTGTCAGAAAAAAAAGGTTAAAAATACTAGGAAAGGAAATACAAACACTGATAGGTTATGGAACATTGGATTAGACTTAATCTGAACTGCAACTCATTCATTTCTGCCATCAAAGTCTCTTACATGTGTGACACTCAGGAGACCTCGCTCTTTCAGGCCTCTCTTGACTCACACCATCAAGCCTTGTACGAACCACCTTTGCTCCTTGATTTCTTCATAAGGGAACCGGGGAACAGAGATCCTGCTCTGCCTGAGCCTATGGGGGTTCAGTTCATAGCACAGGCACCAGATGCTCCCTTCTCCAGATGTTTCCAATATCTAGATCTCAGGACTGGGAAAAGGATAAAAAGGGGGAGAGCAGGGAAGTTACTGAGGGCTCGGCTATTCTATGCTGGCAGTTCTCCATCATGGGGGCGTTTGTGTCTATTTTGGTGCCTCCTGAAGTGTCTTAAGTTTAATTCTACACACCCCTCTATTTTACCACCTTCCTTTATTTCTAAGGCAATATGGAGCAAAGGCTGCCAAGGGTCATTTTGTCCTTAAACTAAGGTGGTTTGGTTGCTGCTGAGCTACACTTTTAATGCAGAGAGGAGAAACCTGACTGTGTTAGCCGTCTGTTACTATGGCAAAGGCTTGTGTTAGCTGCCTGTTACTGTAGCAAATATTCAACACAATGGGTTTATAAAGAGAAAAGGAGCCAGGAGGTGGTGGCGCACGCCTTTAATCCCAGCACTCGGGAGGCGGAGGCAGGCGGATCTCTGTGAGTTCGAGGCTGGGCTGGACCAACAGCCTCCAAAACAATACAGAGAAACCCTGTCTCGTAAAAAAAAAACAAAAAAACAAAAAAAAAAAGAGAGAGAAAAGGTTTGAAATAACTCCAGAGACTTTTGTTGTGATAGAGCAACATAGTTACCACATGGTGGCTGGGAAACAAAACCCAGAAAAGCAGGTAAAGGAATGGCGTGACCACGATTGTGACATATACCTGCTAGGGTTGCCCAAAATATGTGAACATCATTCCCCAAGCCGCTCCATTTTTCACAGGCTTGATCAAAAATATAATTCTGAAGGTCAGGTGGCTGGGGGCTGATAGGAGGACCCAGGGGCTTGGTCACCCATTGGCATGAGCAGAAGTGTAGTTCCGGCCCCTGGGATAATCTTAGGGCCCTTTAGACCTTCCAGGAGAAACTTGAAGTCTAAATGAGTAGGCTCCAGGCCGTTTCCTAGAGCAGAGGCCAATACCCAGGATGGTGTCCACCCTTACTGAAGAGCCCAAGACTCCACTCCAGTGCTGTTCTGGCCTGACCATTGCTGTCCTAGACTGACCCCTCTTGCACTAATCTCCTACTTCCAGATTAGTTTTGGATTAGCCTGGTCTTTGCGAGCTACTGATCTGTGTTGACTGGAGGTGGCAATAAAAGCTTAATTACGATGGAGGGGATAGTGAAACTGAATCAAGTTAGTGGGTATTCACTGAGCACCTACTGTGTGCAAGGCTGTATGTACATCCCCAACTCCTGTTCCAAGAAAACGCAGGCAAATATTTGGAAAAGGTCGCATTGCCAGCATATGAGTGCTTTCTTACAGAGAGTGGAATTTGTTTTCATTCACTGAGTGCTGGGCCTCTTACTTGTGTCGCATCCAACAACCCCGATGCTGTCTCTCCTTCCTTAATGCTTATTATTTTTCAGTCATGTATATGCATGTATGTTTAATGTGTGGGTATATGCACGTGAGTGCAAATACCTGTGGAGTCCACAAGGGGGCATGAGAACCCTCAGAGCAATTGTGAGTTGCCTTATATGGGTACTGGGAACTGAGCTTGGATGCTTTGCCTGAGCTGTGCGTGTTCTTAACTGCTAATTCATCTCTACAGCTCATTTTACTGAACATAAGGGCAATGAGGTGTCTTTCCCAAAGACCATGTGGCTAATAAGTAACAGTACTGAGACACGTGCAAGTCTCAGCTGGTCGCAACACGTTAGTTGAGGCCCCTCGGCTGAAACGTTTCAAGTTTTAGTTTTCGAATTTGGAAATATTTCACAGATTTTTTTTTTACCAGTTGAATGTCACAACTTAAAAATGCACAACTTGAAATGCTCTATATAGGGGACACTTTTGACACCACAACAAAACTCACACGTTTTAGATTTGGGAAGACTCTGGGTTTGCTTTTTTTTTTAACTATATTGTATTTCTGAGTATCAGGACTGCCCAGTCCAAGCCTCTTCTGTGTGAGAAATAAGCCATAAGGCCACGCCTAGAGCCTCCATGGCACCTTCCTGTGCAGCATTTCTGTGACCATGTCCACCAGGTCAAACATTTCTCAGCCCCTCAGAGGCTGGCAGCTCTGGAGAAGCCCTGAGCACATCCCAGCTCCATGAAGAGAAGGGCAGGGCGTTCTGCCTTTCAGAGGTGTGATCCCTGTCCCCCACCAAAACTTTCTTTCTTGATGCTAAAATGGTGGTGGTGGTGGGGTTTAGGCCTTGCTATCCTGAACCATGCATTGAAAGGGCAGATTCAAAGGCCTTCAACCTACTTGGTTCTCAGTTCAGTTAGGCCCAGCGAGAAGCCACCCTGTGAAACACTGGCCCTCACTAAATTTTGAAGACGGGCTTTGCTGCTCTCTGTGTCTCAGCTGTCAACATATTCAGAGCTTTCGTCCCCCTCTCTGTCTCTCCGGCTCCGATAGACATTGCATAAGGAAAGGACGGAAAGTGCACCAGGATTTCAGTCAAAAGTTCCACGGGGCCCGCAATAACACACGCAGGAAATCTGTTTAGCAGATCTGTTTGGGGGCAGTGAAATCAAGTAAAGGAACAGGGTTTTTTTTTCCAATTCAGTGTCTCTTCCGGGAACTGGTCATCAGAGAGACGTTATGGTAAAGGGAGGGTGATGTGTTTTCCTGTGAAGGCTGGTTTTCTTCCCTCTTCCTGCTGGGGGCTGTGGTGGGCTTTTTCCCCCGATAACAGGACACCAGCTGCAAGGTCCTTGATTCCTAGTCTGGCCTTTTCCCTAATTCTATTCCCAAAAGGGTTCTTGTGGGATGCTGCCAGCCTCTCAGCCAGCCCATGTTATCTGTGCAGCCTTGACTGACCACGCAGGGTCTCTTTCTCCAAAGCGAAGAGACAATTGGCTTGTCTTAAGGACACTGATTTTAACCGAGTAACTTAGACGGGGATTTGGCCCCAGTGGCTGCTGGAATATGTCTGTGTTTTGCTTCTGGTCCCTGAAGCGACAGGCAAAACCTCTGAAAAGTCGACAGCCGTGGTGAACGAGAATATCCTGGAATATTATGAACTAGCACAAGGTTGAAGTGTCAGGGAAATGTAGGGCAGAAAACTCAAAGCCAAAGCAGGCTTGGAAGGGTCCTTGCCAAAGCCTCTGGTGGTTCGGGGACCCACCGACCGTCAACCAGCTTCAGTTGCTCAGGTGCAAGTGGGTTTGACGAGGATGCAACCCTGCAGAGTGAGACATTACGGAAGGGCAGGCCAGCCGGTGGCACAGATGATTGTGTTTTCACAGAGTGGTGGGGCCCATGGCCTATGTGGGTCTACTAAGGGAAGGGAGAGAAGTAACAGGTATGTATTCAGGTGCCTGGATGGACTAGGGGGTAGGGGGGCATGCAGGTCAAGGTGAGTCAAATGGCAAGAGGTGGTCAGAAAGGTATCTCCAGGCCTCGGCGAAGTCCTGGCCGTGAACCCGGGGAGCGGCTGTCTGTGAAGGACTAGAGGAGACTAGCGTCATTTGTGTCTCCTGGATACAAATGAAAGCTGAGCCAGACAACCATAAAATCCATCACCACCACCACTGATGGGAGATGTTATCCTGTATATGTTTCTGTTATTGGCTGATGAGTAAAACTCCACGTGGCTAGTGGTCAGGCGGGAAAGATAGGTGGGGTCACTAGACAAAGAGAATTCTGGGAGGTGTAGGCAGAGAGGAGTCGTCATGTGAGCCCGGGGAAGAGAGGACGTAGGTCAGGCATTCTCCAGTAAGACAAGAGCACGCAGAAACGCACAGATTAGTAGTTGTGGGTTAACAATTAAGACAGAGCTAGCCAAGAAGAAACCCAAGCTATCGGCCAACAGTTTCATAGTTAACACAGCGTCCATACACTTATGTGGGGCTGACGTGGCCGTGGGACCAGGCTGGCGGGAAAGAGTGCTGGCTGTACACCACATTCACAGGAATGCACCTAAATCAAAACAACCCAAGGGACGTCAAGGATAAAAAGAATGGGAAAGTTACGGTCAAAGAGAGTGAAGTGTGCCATTGTAGGTGTGAGAGAGGAAGGCGCCAGAGAAAAGTTGCCACCCTGACAGTCCCTAGAGAAGGTGGGTCCTTCTGCTCTCATCCGTGCAGAAGGGAGACACACGGAGGTCAGAGTATGTAAGAAAAAAAAAACCCAGAAACATTCGCGGTCACAGTGGGGGGGGGGACGTTGTGAGCTCATGCTAGGGTGGGTAAGATTCACAAACCAGCCACTACCCCCCTTTTTTTTTTTAAGATGGATGAATTCAGTACTCAACGGCTGAGTGTCTTGCCTGAACGTCTGTCTGTGCATCGCGTGGGCCATGCCCACAGAGGCCAGAAAAAGGATGTTGGTTCCTAAAGGTCGTTGTGAGCTGCCATGTACGTGCTGGGGATGGAACGGAGCGAAGAAAAACCGCCACAGTAATTTAACTGGGCTCCCTGTCTTCTGATCTTGATCCGTCACCGCTTGTGTGTAAGATAGATGCCCCAGTGTCTTAGGCTCCCATCTACGGGTCTCCAGCTCTAAGTCAATCTCCAGACAGGCTTGGCATCTTCCTCCGACTCCTCATACATTGCTTTGTGCTTTGAAGGCCATCCCCATTCCAGGACTCTCATTTCATTTCCTCCCTTTCCAAGTTTTGGCCAGACTAATTTTGGATCTTAAAAAAAATGCACGCTGTGTTTTTTTTTTTAATCTCACGGCTTCGTTCGTATTTTCATTTATTTTGGATCTTCCCTGCCACACTGCACACGTGTCCTGCTTCCTGTTTTCAGATGCTCCACGCAGCTTCAGAACATGTCTAGGCTAGAGGCTAGTCACTTAGCTTCTTTTTTGTTTCATCTAACATGGACTATTTTGACCTGTGCAATGGACACTTGATATGGGTGGTGGTGGATTTGTCTTTAGAGGGACACAGACTAGAGATGATTTTCCAGAATCCCGTATCTCAGGGACTTGGCATTGTGGCGTTGGATAGGATGCAGATAGTTAACATATATGCACTCCAGATTTTTGTCTCCAAGGCAAAGGGCAGAACAGCACCCTGCCCTCTTTTCCACCCCTTTGGTTTTTTTATGTTAATAGTACTTTATTATATTCAACCATGTGCACAGATTATGAGTGTTTAGCAAGTGTGTGTCCTGATTTACACGCAAGACAGTTCTGTGACTTTGGACAACATGATCCTTCAGGTGAGCTAATACTTCAAGTCTCCCAGCTCCAGGCTGTGGCTGTCCTGCTCTATCACTATAAATTAGTCTTTGATGCGTAAGAACTTAGGACTAAATGAAGCTTGCATGGGTGTTCTTTGCTTACACATTAGCTAATTCAGGGTATTTCAAAATTCATGTCACGTTGTATATATTCATACTCTATTGTTTTAAAATAAAAATGTGTGTGTGTGTGTGTGTGTGTGTGTGTGTGTGTGTGTGTGTGTGTGTGTATTAGGAAATGGCAGGTGCTCACAGAGGCCAGAGAGGGCACAGGATCCCCTGGAGCTGGAGTTACAGGCAGCCGTGAGATGCCTGAAGTGGGTGCTGGGAACTGAACTGGGCCATTTGCTAGAGCAGTGCTCCATCTCAATCACCGAGCATCTCTCCAGTCTATTGTGTTTTTTTATTGCTCAATGTTATTTCATTTCACACAGATATACCACAGCTTACCCATAGTCCTACTAAGGGTGTTGGAATGTTGCCAATTTTTTTCTTACTCTGAATAAAATGGTTATTTATGTACAGAACTTTTTGGTGACTAAGTCATGTATCAGTTTCTCTTGGGCTTTGTCAAGTAGCATCATGCTGTTCCAGGATCATAGATTCAAGTTAATCAGAAAACTGATTACAAAGTTTCAAACATGAGTAGCACCCTAGAGTTCACCACACTGTTGCTAACACTTAATTGACTCAGCTTTAATTTTAGTCCCTGTGTTGGATGTGTAGCTGTGGCATTGCTTTGTATTTCCCTGGTAACTAGTGATGTTGAACATATTTTCATATTTTTATGACAATTTAAATACTTTTTTAAAAATGAAGTATCTGTCCAAGTCTTTAACAAATTTCCCCTGAGTTATTTGAATTTTGAGTGTTTAATTTCCCTTTGAAAACTCTGAATATGCTTCAGGTAAGAGCCAATTATATGCCTAAATTCCCATGAACTTTCAAATTCAAAGCCTATCTGTCTTTGTTTTTGTTTTCAGACAGGGTCTTACTATATTGTCCTGGCTGGGTTAGAAATCACTTTATAGACCAGACTGGCCATTGTCTCCTAAGTGCAGAGATAAAAGGTATGTTCTGCTATGTCCAGTTCAAATTTAATATCTTAATCAATTTAATCAACTATTGATCTCAGTAAATCTCACTTTACAGAATAAGAAACCCAAGTCCAGGTATACCTTAAACCTCCCTTACAGCTGGAACTCCCCATCCTGAAGTACCAGCCCTCTATGTGGGAGACAACGTCGAAGGAAGACCTCTGTGAGAGGGCACACCAAACTGTTGAACTTGGTCCTGACTTTGAAAAGATGGTATTAAACAAAAAAAACCCTTTTCTTTATGCTTGCCATGCAAGCCACCAACACTGCAGAACTCAATGGTTTTGCCTCATACTCGGTTATGTGTGTGCCGTGCAACCGTAGCCATGACACATTTCTACAGTGCGGTCTGGAGTCGTCACCCCATCCCGACTCCTTCCAGAAGCAAGAAGCCACCTGCGTGCTTCTGTCGCTGTAGATGAACTCGTCCTGGATTTTCATAGGGATGAAACGATGTGATCTTTGGTCTCCTGGGATTGGCTTCCACTTATCCTAGCTGTGCTTAACGCCTTTGGCGAAAGATCGTGTGCAATTGGCAAGACCCCAATCCCGTGCTTCCTGAGCTCTTCCCACTCTGTCTGTCCCCTCACCTCCGTGGGGGTAGGTGTCAATCAGCTCCAGAGAGGAGCAGGGCGTCTGCTAGTCCTAGGTCTTGTTTTTGTGGAGTGTAGGATCCTTGTTATCTTTTTCTTTTCAGTATACTAAAAATTTTAATTAAACCTAACAACCCCACGTCTTTGCAGGGCCAAGTATCATATGGAGAACACACATGCAACCATCAAATCAGGGTAACTGGCATGTCTGTCCCATCAAGCTTTATTTCGGCCTCCGTCAAAAACCAAGCACCCTAACAGGGGGCCCTCACTCTCCTTTCTTGACTCCAGCATGAAGTATGAAGCATTCAGGAGACTCAGAGGCAACAAAGAGCTCAGAGGGAATAAACCGTCTTCCGAAGCTGTTGGACTGAGGCCGAAGGCTGTAAAGACTTGTTTATTGTGTTAAGTTAGCTCCTGAGATTTAGACCTGTTTACCCCAGCAACTAATCTTGTTTGCTTAGACTACGAATACGCTAAAAACACTCTTTGAAAGCCTGTGGCTGCTCTAACTGTGAATTGTGTTTTAAAGCAGTGTGTTGAATGGGCCACTTTCCTGGACTGGAGAAAAACTTCAGTTCTTCTCAGATAAGACCATGTCACACAGACAGATCTTTCCTAGCTTTAGACTTTAAGCACATGTAAGGAGTCAGAGAGGGTGTTCTTTTTGTTTTAAATTTCATACGTGTGTGGATGTGTCTGTGTGTGGATGTGTGCAGGGGCATGCACGTGTGTGTGCAGGTGCCCAGAAAGATGTCCCCTGGATATGGGTGCTGGGAGAAGAACCCAGGTCCTCTGGAAGAGCAAACAGTACATGCTCTTACCCTCTGAGGCACCTCTCCAGGCCCCATGCAGGCCATCCTTAAGGAATAAATCACACACACACCCCAAAACATTTACAAACATTCCTAGAAGAAATTCCTCAAGCTTCCCGGTCATTGGCCATCTTATTCTGATCTCCCAGAACACAGGGGCTCCACAGGAAGCCCCAGAACAGCACTGTGTGCAGTGTAGGGCACTGTGTGAATTATAAAAATCTGTGCTGTTCTAAAGATCAAAACGTCTTACCCATCTGGGATATATAAATCCCATCACAGGATTTATGAAGGGGTTATCTTGAATTATGTGCTGGGTGTTGGGTTTGGCACGTAATAAATATAAATGATCCTCTCAGGACAGTAGATTAGCATCCAGGGGAGAGGAAAAAAGCCAGGCGTCTGTGGAATTTAAATGGGGAGACGTCCTATCCCGCAGGGAGGACAGAGCGCCCAACCCTGGGAAATGAAGAAGAATCCGTGTTTTCAAGCCTGGTGTGATCTCCTCCCAGAAGGGGGAAGAGCTGGTTTATCTTCCCGTGGCTCAGAGCCCAAGCTGTGCAAGTTTGGCTCTCTGGAATCAATCTGTTCTCGATCTTTCCACAAAAGGGTCTGTTTGCTGTGCGTCAGATGAGTCGCACCAGCGTGACTTGTTGGAGACCCTCTATTCGTGCCACACCCTCCCAAACGGCTCACAGCTTCTTCATCTAGACAACTCCTTCAGCTGCCTCTAAACTGGGGATACTCAGCAAGGGGCTATGCAAAGGCGTACTGCCACCTCTGACGCCAGCACACTTCAGCGGCTGCCACGCGCAAAGCTGCTTGACCCACCGGGTGAGATTCAAGAGTGTGAAGCCACCGTTCATTCTCTTTGGGTAGACCTAAACTCCGTGAAATAGGGAACAAACTCACAGGGGAGCCCAGAGTCAGCAGGAGACGACCTAGAGACAAGGCGCACGTGTGAGGGAAGACAGAGTTTTACCAGGAGTTCCGGTGCGGCTGTAGATTCTGATGCACGCAAAGATCACGTGTGACGCTAACCGTGGTTCTTACTAAGGAGCGCGCATGCGTGCGTATGTGCGTGCGTGCGTGTGTGTGTGTGTGTGTGTGTGTGTGTGCGCGCGCGTAGATATTCACAGGAGGTGCTTCAAAGCCAACTTACCTCAACACACGTGGTTTAAGTTTTACCAGAAGCTTTTCCTAGTCTCTTCCCTCTTTCAGGGTTATGATGCTTTACACGGCACACAAGAACCGTCAAGAACACAAAAGGCGTGGTAGGACTGTAGATGGGCTCCTAATTGTGTACTTACAAATACTGACCTGGACACCTTGAACTTCTCAGTCTTCTCAGTGTTTTCCAACACCCGCGTGGCAGCTCACACTCATGGGTGAGTTCAGTTCCAGAGGATCCGGCACCTTCTTCGGGCCTCTGCAGACACTGCATACAGATGACGCACAGAACAATGTGCAGGCACACACTCATGCACATAAAAATAAAATAACCCTTAAGACAACAAAGCAGTGAACACACGCAGCTAAGAGGGGCTCGGCTATCATTGGACAGTCTTAAGTCCTTTAGGGCATCAGAAAGGCTTGTCAGTACTCACTCCATGTTCTACACTCACCCTGTCTTCTAGTCTTTATCCCCCTCCCACCACATTGTCTAGTTTGTCTTTGGGGCTATCTCAAGAATCCACGGTTCCTCCTGTGGGCAGGGCGGCCGTATGTGGCAGATCCTGTCAGAGAGACTTTACTAAAACGTAGGGCCTATGAGAGGCCACTGACTCAGGTCTGACAACTGGGGAACCTGCAGAAGACCAAACCAGACTCCCTTAATATAGGTGACCATGGCATGACTGGGACAATATATGAGGCCACTGGCAGTGGGTTCAAGACCTAACTCTAATGCACAAGCTGGTTTAGTGGAGCCCATTCTGTATGGAGAGATACCTTGCCCAACCTAGACACAGGGGTGTGGGTGGTAGAGCGGTGCTTTGGTCCTGCCTCAACGAGATGATGGGACAGACTTAGTAGACTTCCTACGGGAGGCCTTGCCCTCTCCTGGCTAGCAAAGCCCTCCATGTCTAGACTGCTTTACCCTGGGGTGAGAATGCTCAGTACGGGGGCTCCTCTCTCCCAGAATGCGAGTTTGGTTGAAACTCCAAGCACACATCACACGAGAGCTTCATTTCCATGAGATTTCTTCAAGGCACGAAAGAGGCTTTGCTTAGCAAGAAGCAGCCTTTAAGTTCAATGCAGTCTGGGGGGAGGGTCACTTTGTTTTGGTTCTTATCTGTGAGGCGAAGAGTGGTAGACTATCCTGGGGTAATGCAAAGCATGGGGCTTCTAGTGGCTGTTGAATCTGGGCTGGAGTATGTGTCCAAGAGTTTTTGGATTTTAAAATGAACAAGGCCTCAGACTAAAACAGGAAAGCTTACAAACCAGCTTACCCAGGACAGACAAAGCCACACACCTGGCGGCATCTGGGACCATTTTTCTGCATTTGTGTGTTCTCCCTTCTCTTTCATTAAAACTAAAATTTTATTTATTTATATTTGTGTGTGTATGGATATTCTGTCTGCATGTGTGTTTGTGTACCATTTGTGTGCCTGGTCTCCACAGAGGCTGGAGGATGGCATTGTGATGGGGGGATATGTAGGATAAAGCCTTTTCCTTGCCAGCCACTTGGTTTTTCCCCACCAGTCAGTCACCTGGGCTCTGCCACGTTGTAGTCCCCAAATAACACACAAGACTCTGTATTAATTATGAAGCTGTTAGCCTTGCTTGTTTTATACTGGCTAGCTCTGACTTAAGTATTTACCCCATAATTGTTATGCTAAGTATTTCTCTTACCGGAGAAAAGGTCTGGACTTCTTATCCCTATGGCAGTTACATCTTGACTCCTTGTGTTTCTCCTTCCCAGAATCCTCCTCGACTCCTAGTCCTGCCTATCTTGCTTCCCTATTGGCCAACAGTACTTTATTGACATATACACAGGATTTTCCCCATCAGGGATATCCTTCTGTATTTGTTTGTCTTACAGGTTGATGAATAAAGCACTGTTTGGCCAATAGAGGCAGGAAGATAGGCGGAACTAAGAGATGAGAATTAAGGGAAAGGTAGGCAGGTCTGGACCCTTCTCCGGTAAGATAAGACCATGTGGAAATATTTAGATTAGTAGAAATGAGTTAATAATTAAGACAGAGCTAGCCAACAAGAAGCCTTAGTCATCAGCCAACTTATAATGAATACAAGTCTTTATGTATTTATTTGGGGTAAAGCCGGTGGGACCTGGTAGGACAGAAAACTCCGGCAACAGGCATTGCATTTCCTGGAACTGGAGTTATAGATGGCTGTGAGCTGCCATGTGGGTGCTGGGAATCGAGCCTGGGTCCTCTGGAAGGACAGCCATTGCTCCTGACCCCTGAGCCATCTCTCCAGGTCCCATTCTTCTGTTTCTGAACACAGTATGACCTCAGCACGTGCAGTATATCCAATCAGTGCTTTGGGCTGGGTCCTCCAATCCTCTGAATTGTGGCATTACAGCTGAGCGCTAGCGGGGCGGCGGGTAGTGAGGAGGTGCTTGGTCCATTTAGTTCACTTGAAACAACTTTGCATCAGTCTGAACTTCATTCCAGGGTTTCACTTAAGAAATCCAACTGAAAACTCAGCAGCGTGTCGAGGTTGGTGATTTCCGCCTGAAACCAGACGTGAGGGCCAGTGGTGAATCTGGAGGACACGGGTCGTGTTTGGCAGCCAGAGCCAAATCCATCTGGAAGAGGCTGTTCTTTTCCAGGAAACAGAATGCGCAGCGACACCCTAAATAAAGCCTGAGGTGAAATGGGGCTTGCTTCCTTGTGACACGAGCCCCGCCGCTGGTTTCCTATGTCCTACAGATGTGAGACCAAGTGCTTAAAAACGTTTAAAGCCGATGAATTATTAGCTACACACAAGCACACAGGGATCCCGAGCCTGCCCAGTAGGTGGGTATGTCTTCTCTCAGTTTTCCTCTATGGACTTGGTCGGCTGTGTGACTCACAAGATGGCACCAGCTTTAACAACGCTTGCGTGGATTTTGGCATGTAAAACATTCAGAACAGGACCTTGAGTGGAGGTAGGTGGCGCAGACACTTCACCTCCGATGAAGGTCCGATGCTTACTTTACTACCCGTTTTCCATCAAGTCTCTGGGATCAGGATTGGCCGTCACCGGTAAGAATTGTCATAGCAGCTCGTAAGTACTGAACATGTTCAGGATGTGAGGACTCTGTTTCACTATTCCCGTTGCTAGCAGATGCCACCGAGGAACATGGGACTGGGTGCTGGTACTGCTTCTGGTGGGAACCCTTCGGACTCCTCCGGAAACCCCACCCTGTAAGTCCACATGCGCCTTTCTCTCCACCATGGAGGCGATTTCACATTGTTTCCGGGCTTTTCAAAAGGAGGAAACGGAACCTCAGAGAAGATGGGTCTCCTGGCAATGCAGCTCGGCTGGCCTGGAGAAGAGCCGGGTGTGGGTCTTGCGATCTGTGCTTTTCCACGTGTAGCACACGGCCCGCATGTTAGGACCCTCTGGGACCTAAGATGGGGCTGGAAACTCTCCCTCTATATGTGAGAAGTGCAGGGCTAAGAGGGGCAGGGCTGGTTGCCCCAGGTCGGGATGGGGTGAGAACCACAGCCCATG